TGTCTGGAGGGACCTCATCTCTTCTCCAAAAATTCTCAAAATTTATAGACAGAGCCTCTGGGATTACATCTACAGGTTCCTTTAGTATTGTTGGATGCATGATATTTTAGAGGTGATTGAAATGTTAAGCCTCTCCTATGAAGCCACCAAAAAGCATTCATTTGTGCTAGCAGGCTGGTGGTTACCATGCTGGTGGAAAGCGTAATGCTGGTGGTCAACAAAAGAGGTTTAAAGACTGTCTCAAGGCAAATCTTTAAAAATGTAGTATAAACACTGACAACTGGGAAACACTGGCCTGCGAGAGCTCCAGCTGGAGAACAGTCTTTCCCAAAGGTGTTGTGGGCTTTGAAGACACTTGAACTCAGGACACAAGGGAGAAACGTGCTAAGAGGAAGGCACGCTTGGCAAATCCACACCGTGATCAACTCCCACATGGAAACCAATGTCCCCACTGTGGAAGGACGTGTGCATCCAGAATTGGCCTCCACAGTCACTTACAGACTCATTGTTAAAACTGTGTTTATGGAAGACAATCTTATTCGGCTACAAGTGATCACCAAAGAAGAAAGAAGAAGAAGAAGATGGTTACCACTTCTAAAAGGTGCTGCTGACCCACCACATGCTGCATCTACAAGCTGCTGCAGAATAATCTTTGGTGCTGTGCCTTTGTACCCTAGCTGATGCACAGAGTAAAAAGCATTTAAATGTTATTCTCACCACGTGGAGCCCTATCATGGGTAATCAGTTTGTACTGATGACCACATGGGGGCATTTAAATCAGCCTTCAGTGATTAGCTTATAAAATACAACATGTGGCTTTAGTTAGAACCCAAATTTAATATAATCCTAACTTAAGTCTTTTCCTCTATGTAGACTATAAACCAATGAAGTAAAACCTTATTTATACAAATTAGCTGGGCTCTTTATTACAATTTTTTAAAAGAAGGAAATAAAGCAGCTGGGAAAGACCCCAACATTGCATTGAGGGCTGTGCTGAGAGAGGAGGAGGAAGCAGATTAATTTAGGTTTTAAATGGTTTTGTGGAACCACAAGTTCAGTAAACATAATTACTACCTCCCCATAAATAAGTGCAATAGCTGCACGACATGAGACTCCTTAGGAGACAAAGCCTTTGCAGATAAAAGTGCATGTTTATTGTATGCCTACAGTATGCCAATTGCTTTATAGGACCCACAAATTATGTTATAAACTGCTTGGATTGGGATCAAAAGTTAGATGACCAGAATGATGGTGAAGAATAATTCTCTCTTTGCCTGAGTGCCACATTCACCCTTGGCCTATCTAGGTATAGCCAGCACACTCTCTCACATGCATGCCTATATAGCACATAAGCAGAACATATGCACAGGTACACAGCCCTACTTCTCAGCTAAATTAGTGGGCGGGTTATCTATTGGATGACTAGGGAAGGAGCAACTTGAATCCTTATCTGGGTACTGCCCATGTCAGTGTGGGGCAATTGCAGGATCCTCTCTCTCTCTCTCTCTCTGGTGACCGGACACAATCCCTCCCCCAGCCCTCCCAGACAACAACCTTTACCAGTCCTACTTTGCATGCTCCTAGAGAGTTTCTACCCAGGTGGAACGTGACCTTGAACTGTCAGCATGCGACAGTGGCCACACCCCAGGAACAACTTTGACTGGCCAGCTAAACCAGGTGAGGGTAGTCAACGGGTCTTAAATCTTCAGTGAGTTAGGAACTTCCCCTGCATGCAAAAACAGGCTCAGGTGGATTGAGCAGATGAGATCAATAATGGGTCCAACGGTCAAGAAGGCAGGAAGTGAGGGGCAGATGGGGCTCGTCAACCTGGGAAGGCAGCCCATCTAAGAGAAGGAAAACTCTGATCCTAAACCTCTGCTGCCTTGCAGGATATCTTCAGGAGAGGAAAAGGCTAAGGAGTAAACCCTACACAAATCCAGAGTGAAGTCCCCAAGATGGTTGGATGGCTCCTTATATACCTCCTACAAGCAACTCCTGCAGCCAAGGCACGTATGGCTCTGCTTGCCCTAGGACAACATCAGTGAGGCCGTTGCGGGGGGGGGGTGTCTTGTCACCAGGGCAGCCCAGGACCTCCATACACACTGCCTAGGCTTGCACCCCGAGGAGGTCATTTTGCTGCTGCTAACCCCTCAAGACAGATGGGTGTCAAAATAAGTTTATTATTTATTTCTTACATTTATATCCCACCTTTCCTCCACAGAGCTCAGTTTATCCCCGTCCTCATTTAATCCTCACAAGAACCCTTTGTGGTAGGTCAGGCCAATAGACTGCGACTGGTCACCCAGTGCGCTTCATGGGGATTCAAACTGTGGTTTCCCAGGTCCTAGTCCAGGAATAGGCAAACTCAGCCCTCCAGATGTTTTGAGACTACAATTCCCATCATCCCTGACCACTGGTCCTGTTAGCTAGGGGTGATGGGAGTTGTAGTCCCAAAACATCTGGAGGGCCGAGTTTGCCTATGCCTGTTCTAGTCTAACACTCCAACCACTGTACCACACTGGCTTAATGGGTAATGCTTCTTTTTAAGCCTGGATGAATGACAGAGAGGGGTGTGTGCATGTCTGTAGCAGAAATTAGCTGACTCTGCAGAGGCAAAATTCACATTTCCTGCTCTGCCCACTTTTGCATGTAGCCCCTGGAAGGCTGCCCAAAAGGAAATATGACCTTAGGACTGAATATGCTTTCCCATCCTTGATTTTCGTGACATGGTCTTTAGTAAAGTTCTAGCTAGGGAACAATGGTTAGTTTTTTTGTGTGTTGGTTTTTTACATGAGTAGTACTCTCTTACGTACATGTTACCTGTGATTAGCGTTTCTTAAAAAAAAAACTGGAGCCAACTCTCCACTCTCATTGCAACAAAACCGGCTGCCAGGAAGAATGAGGACAAAGATGTCAGGGCTTGAGAAAATAAATGGCAGCCTTTTCCTACCATCTGCTACTCATCAGCAAGCCAAGGGAGGGACAATGCACACCTGCAGGCAGGAGCTGAAATGCCACAGAGACAAGAAGCTTTAGCAACTGTGCCCAAAGGCTACAGAAACAAACACACGGAAGGGGAAAAGGAAGAGCTTTAAGACTTCCTGTCCCCTTCCTGTGTCTCACAATAGAATGCAGCTTCTCCAAAGAAGTGACCTGTCTCTTTGCATTTGACCCTGACCTTACCAACAGACTTGGTTGGACAGGAATTAGGAAGGAAAAACATCTTACTGGACAGTGGTGGCAAATTTGGCGCTAACCCACCAACTTCAGCAAGCCCACAAGTGCCTGCCTTCTTACTTTTAACCAGTCCAGGGGATGTAATTGCCTGTCACCTTCCTCCTCCTCCTCCTTCTCAGTGTTAGTGCTGCCCTTGTAGAACACAACAAAGAGGGTGGGGAATTCGTTGTCTCTCTGTGTTAGTGACTCTGGTTCCACCTATTGCTTCGGCTCCCTGTCTTCTGCCACACCAGTCCAAATGGACATCAGCAGCCTCTAGTACTGGACCCTCCACTGACGTGAACACATTACATATATGTAAGGAGGTCAAATAGGCAAGTATCTCCTCCCACACAGTTCTGGCTTCATTGCGCAACCCCACGTCTCCCCTCAGCTCATCTATTTTTTGTATGTTCTTTAGTATCAGTCCCTTTAATAGCAACCTCAGAACCTCAACTAGTGGAGTGTGAACAGGTTTGAGACCAGAAGCAAGGGGTGTGTGGAGAGACTGGGGATTAATAATTCCCAAGTTATGCAGATGTGCTTGTCTCTGCACCCCATTAGGTACCTCTGGGTACCTTGCACCCACCACTTAGTAGGAGAGAAGGAAAAGGAAGTGAGGGCCACTGTCTGATCAGCTTACTTGAGGGGGAACCGGCCCCGATTGCAAGTTGCATTTCTGAAAGTAACGAAATGCTTCTAAGCACGCATACATTAGGTACTGATTCAAACCACAGAGAAAGTAGCAGCTGGGGTCTGTACAGTGCATTTATATCTGTCATGCAGCAATCTCTGTCTTTTTAAAAATTGCATGGCCAGATAAGGAGATATGGGGGTAAGCTCTGTCCCTCCAGTTTTGAGGGATGCTGAAAATCCCTGCAATCTGAAAGATGATTCTCACATCTTCTAAAGAATGCCTGTAAGTACTTGCCAAGCACAATGTATACCTATTTTGATAATGCGTGAAGCAAGTGATGACAAGCCTCTCTGTACCTGATGCTTGGCTTACCGTATGATTTGTCTCTTACCCGTTAACAGGTGACTCTCTTTGTCTTGAAAGAACTGGGTGACACGAGCAGTTGTCTGCATGGGGAGAGCATTTCTAGCTTTTCAAAGATGACATGAATTCCCAAGTCTGAGGCATCACCTTCTATAGCAAAGATTGCATCAGTTTTGTCTGAGCATAGGCAGTGCCTCCAAAAATGTTTTATATATGTCTGCACAGTGGGACACTATTGCTGATTTATCAGGTGGAAGAGCTTAGGGGGGGGGGAGAGAGAGAGAGAGAGAGAGAGAGAGGCAGCAGATTGTCTGAAGGCAAGCAGCTTTACAGAAAACCTGATCTAACCCTATTGCTGTTTGGAGGCTAAGAAACAGATACTAAATCACTGCTGCTCCTTTATTTCTATTTTATTTTTTTGGAAGATGTACAAGCAACACATCACCAGAGGGAACATCCCTATCACTCTAGATAACGCACCAGTGATCAAATGACTGATTGCATGTCGGCCACATCATATTGGCTAGGGGGAAATTCAATTTTAGTAGCTCTCCCCAGCTCATGAAACCCTAATAGCCTTTAAAAACTCTTATAAAAACCACCCAAATGAAAGCTGTGATATGGCTGACTAGCACACAAGTCAGCCCACTGAATTATGACTTGGAGCCACTGATTTCAAGGGATTAAGGAAGAAGCTGATCAACACGGTTGTCATGATTCTCCTAGTACCTTTGGAGTTATTTTTCTCAGCAGGTGACTGAGACCACATGGAAGTAAGCAACTGGACGATCCCAACTCTACAATTCTGTGATTTTATGATTCTATGAATCATAGGATCATAGAATTGTAGAGTTGGAAGGGACCCCGGCAGTCATCTAGTTCCCTGCAATGCAGGAATCTCAACTAAAGCATCCCTGACAGATAGCCATCCAACCTCTTCTTAAAAGCCTTCAATGAAAGAGAGTCCACCACCTTCCGGGGGAGTCCATTCCACTGTCTGAAGCAGGTATAGGGGAACTTCCAGCTGTTGTTGGAGTCTAGCAGTACCCATGGTCAGGGATGATGATTGGTGCTGGAGTCCAGCAACATCTGGAGGGACACAGGTTCCCCATCACTGGCCAAGAGATGCTAGGCAGACAACCCAGCACTCTCTTCTCCCATAGTCTGGAAGTTCACTGGGTAGTTCACTTCAGAATAAGCTACCCAACAGATGCCACAGAGGCAGGTGTGAATATGGAATGTAAGTGGGACCTGCATAAAAGGTTGTAGTTCGAAGTGCTCCTGTTCACTGTTCCAGTAAGTCAGCCATGCCTTCTTCTGTGAGACTCCATCCCTCTACAGCAGAGGCGGTTTTGGGGTAGCACGACTGGTGTGGTTGCACTGGAAGCCATACTGCAGGGTGCACCACAACATTGCTGCAGAACGGAGTGCGAGAGTCAGGGGGTGCCAAATTTCAGCATCGTACTGGGTGGTAATGACATTTGAGAGCCCAAATTTGTCACTGCCAACAGATAGTTTCATGACCTATGAGTATGCTCAATCTTCATGTGGGCATTTTGAGGGTTTCTTCCCCGCTAAACATTTCCTCCCCTCCCCCCCCGCCAGTGTTTTGGGTTTGTTTGTTTGTTTGTTTGTTGTTCTACTGGAGACCCTGAGATTCCCTCCCACCCCAGCCTCCTGATATCTCCCTGTTGCCTTGTTGTTTTGGCTTCCTAAGCAGTGGCACTCAGATCTGAACATCAAAAATAGTGAGAATGAAGGGGCAAGCAGAAAGTGGAGCAAGAGGGATAGCCCGGGGGGGGGGGGAGTAAAAATCTTTTCACCATAGTCTACCTAGAGGTAGCCAGGGAAGGTAATACCCAGGGGCCCTAATATCACAAATAGCTATCATTAAATTTCAACATACAAGAATTTTAGAAGCACATGTGTAACATATACATTTGAAATTAAAAATTTGAAATTAAAAAAATCACCCTCTGAAGGCATTGGTAAAATTCCAGTTGGTGTTAATAGCTGTGAGTTGAGCCCTTTGTCATTGCCAGTGTTAACTGATTCTTACTACAGTCAAAGCCATGCTGTTCCTGAGTGGTAGAAGAGAGACCTCTTGTGGCTTTTAAAAAAATAGCACAGTCTAATATATACCAATGCATTTAAAGCACCCCAATTTTATTTAAGCAGAAAGAGGCTTAAATAGATTTCACCGAGTAAAAAATTGTGATCTTTTAAAAAAAGTAAAAAATAAAAAATAAAAAATAATTGCAGGGGGAAAGAAATAAAGAGGAAGATAGTGATAGCTATGTTTAAGCTGGCCCTAAATTTATGAAAGAAGAGCATGGCATAACATTCGATGCAATGTGGAAGGAAACATTATAACTCATCCCCTGAAGACTGGCATGGGACAGTCAGCTGAGATGTTCCCTCTGGCAAAACCCTTAAACTGCACCAGCTAAATGACCTGTTCCTTTCTACTTGAGGAAACCACTGAAGCAAACTGCAAATTATTGGTTATCCTTTCAGCACCATAGACAGCAGTCCCACTTGCAAGCCACTCTCGCCTTGCAAGTATCCTGCCATGCTCATCTATGCTGAGATCCCCCTTCCAGGCCCTTTTCCAAACACTCCCTACGACTTCTGCTCCACATCTATCTATCTATATCTATCTATCTATCTATCTATCTATCTATCTATCTATCTATCTATCTAGGTCCTTCTGTACCAGGAAGGGATCAACTTATCTAGGATCCCTTCCTTTCTCCCAACTTCAATATATGCACAGCCACGATGACTTCCTGCTCCTTCCTATGGGCCATAGTTTGGTGGTAGATTATCTGCTTTGCATGCAGAAGGGTCCCAGGTTCAATCCCCGTCATCTCTAGGTAGGGTTGAGAGAGAACCTTGTTGGGAACCCTGTAGAAGTTGCTGCCAGTCAGTGTACACAATACTGAGGTAGATGGACCAGTGGCCTGACACAGTATAAGGCAGACCCCTGTGTTCCCTGTGGATTCCCAGTGGAAACTGCCAAAAATGCAAGACGGTCCCTCCAAACATTAGACTCCATAGTTCAATGAATCTAAGGCAAGAGATGCATTTTTGTCTTGGTGTGAGAAATGTTATGATCTGAAACTGGGATAGGGTATCACATTGCCACCCAGCTGCAACAGAGGGGCAAGTAAGACATCTGACCTGCCCTACAGTACCTTTATGAAACAACTGGTCCCCAAATGTATTGATTTTCCTCTTCCTTTTTGGATTGCATCTTTCAACCTTGGAGCCAAGGGAAGTCAACCTGTGGCCCTCCATATATTTTTATTATGATATTAATACCCCACTTTGCCTCCAATAGCTCAAGGTGGTGTACTTCTCCTCCCCATTCTATCCTCACAGCAACCCTGTGGCATAGCCTAGGCTGAGAGACTGTGACTGGCCTAACATCACCCAGGGAACTTTATGGCTGAGTAGGGATTTGAGCCCTGGTCTCCCAGGTCCTAGTCTGATACTCTAAATCACTGCACCAAGCTAGCTCTTGTTGTTGCACTCAAATTCCCACCATCCCTGAGGAATAGCCATGCTGGCTGGGGATGGTGGGAGTTGGAGTCTAAAAGCATTTGGAGGGCCCCTGGCCAGCTTACTAGCCATTATTCTAAATGGAGAAAACCCCCGAAAGCTTTGATAGAAAGGCAGTATGAAATGCAGGAAATGAAATACGTACATAAATAAAACTGCTATCTTTTCAGCTATACCTCGAATATCCTTGCTGTAAGTAAAACATTCACCTCTGCATAGAGACACAGAAGGGTCACAGAAACATAGGGGACCACAAGGGTCAACTAGTCCAACCTCCTGCGATGCAGGAATCTTTTGCCCAATGCGGGGCTTCAACCCATGAACCTGAGATTAAGAGTTTCATACTCTACCAACTCAGCTAAGTGTGAGGACATGCCTCACATTAAAACAAGCCTGCGAACTGTAATCACATAACCTTCCCAGATTCAGGGGACTGAGATGTCACTATCAGGATCACCGTGGGCAAGCAAGGTTAATGCCTTCGCTTTTGAGCCACACCCTCCTAAAGATTGGTCCATTTACATGGCTATGAGGCTTAGTTTTGAAAAGTTCCCAGGGATGTGGGTGCAGCTGAGGAGTATAGATGCATACATTACATGTAGTTTTACCTTTAGACAGAATAGTCTAAGTAACATAAACATTTGTTTAAAGCTGGTTCCCACATTACCATCTGGGCATATGGTTTCCAAATAATATAAGTTAGTATTAGTTCGTATTGCCACTATGGTCCCATGTTCACAAGCAGCTGCTTCCAATAGAGGTTTTGCATTTGACCTTCAGTTCATTCCCAAGAAATATCCCTCCATTCTTTTGTAAATAGTGGAAGGGTTTTTTCCCTCCCAGATAATTTGATCACAGCAGAAAGTCACTGAGGAGAAACAAAGCTGCCTTTGCATGCACTGCAATGGGAACCCAAAGCTTAAAGAGATCTATCTCACCAGAGTCTGGATAGTCACGGCATAAATAAATGCAAATCTAACAGTTATTCTTCCAGACTGAAACAGAGGTAAGCACAATAAACAAACAACAGGAACGCACCAAGCATATCCACATTCCCTGTTCTCATGCTTCTGCAACTAGTTCAAAGCTCAAATATGATGCTAGACTTTGCAAAATCCTCAGGCAGAGCAAAGAGCTACCAGAGTCATCTGAGAGCTAACATACAATGAGAAGTGGCCTGGAAACACAAAGAGATTCTTGACAGTATTTCTGAGCAGTGATATTAGCAAAAAATAATATATATTTTTTTAGCAAAACAACCTTTGAAGGGGAAAACTTTACTTACAGGGGTGCTGCCATCTGAAAAGGTGTTCATACTGATGGAGCTGCTCATCTTGTCAGATGACAAGGAAGGAGGTGATGGACTGCGCTTCTCCAGATGCTCCTGGCTCTGTAAATCTTGACGCTGTAGATATTCACGCCATGCTCTCTGAATGCTGTATGTAATTTGAAACATGGGTGAATAGAGAAACCTCTTATATATGCGAGCACTACTGAAATATTTCCCTCCAATGGGGGCCTGATAGAAGGTAATCTCACAGAGCCAGAGTGAAATTTTGCACAGTGTTGGAATTTAAATGAAAATCTTTTCAAATCTCTCTTTTGAAATTGGACTTTCAAATATATGCTTTTCCAAAAACACAGGGTACAAATCCAGCCCCAAACGCAGCCTGCTTGTTTCTTTTCAAGGGAAGAGCTAAGTGCATGCTTCAGGCTGCAGACCTCTGCACAGTTACCTGCAGTAAGTCTCACTGAACTCAATGGGGCTTCCTTAAAAAAAGACTTTTATAGGATTGTGTTGTTTGTCTAGTGAAGTGAAGGCACGAGACAGGTGTTGATCATCAAGTGAGCAATGCAGGTGCACGCTAATTGCCAAGCCCGCAGAAGCTCTTTTTATTGATACACACATGCAAAATCAAGCAGATACGTTTTGGGCTGTGACCTTTACAAATCTTCCAATCCCGAGATCGAGGGATGGCAAAAAGTTATTTTGGCACTTGTTTCCACACGTCACTTTTCCCTTGCATAATGTTTTGCTAGAAAGAGACAAAGGTCTCAAAGGACAAAGGGTTACAGACAGGGCACGGCAGACTGCTGAGACCGCAAAAGGTTAGATACAGGCCACGATGTTCATCAGACGTTTCCGTGAGGGGGAGTATGTTTCGCACCCCAGGGTCACGCGTGCAGGCAGACTGATGCTGCCTGCGGGTGGGGGAGTGTGCTCCTTCCGGACCCACCCCCCACTCTCCGCGATATCCCTACATCTAGTTTATGAAGTTTTAAAAGAATAATGTAAAGTATCAACTTCAGTGGCGTGTGGTGGAATTCTTCATAGGGGAGCAGTTAGGGCCAGAGGCACTGACTTTCAAGGGTGATTTGAGGAGGGAGGCACCAATGTTATGTGTGTGAGCATCGCACCTCCCTCCCTAAGCCAGGCAGAAGCTTCCCAGGCTTTGGTAAGGAGGCACTAGGCTTTAATACTTTAATTTGCCAGGAACATTTAGGGGACTATCCTTGATCCCTTACTCCACTGACCACGCACCACTGATCAACTTGTCAATTTCTATACAAAATCTAACAGACAGAATTTGGCATGTTGAGGGCTGGGGTAAAGCAAATTAGGAAGAGCAGGAACTTAAATTTAGACACATCTGACTTATTTGCTTCTCTCCTCCAACCAACCCCACCCCCCATCCTTCTTAAGCTTTACATTTAGCCAGTGGTGGTTGGTGGTAGGGAGTAGAATGGCTCACCTGGTTTCCCAACATGAGGTCAGAGGGTCAAGAGGGTCAGCGTGGTGCAGCCACAGTAGCAGAACCAAAGCAGCGCTTCTGATGCTGCACCTGCACCAACCTCCCCTCCCTCTCATCTCAGTTACCAGCAGCAGCCTTCGCACTGGGAAGCCAGGGAAGCAATGCTGCTCCACTCCAGCCCCACTTGTGCCCACACAAGGGTAGCCAGGCGGAAATGAGGACAGGGTTTGCACCCCTTTCAAAGCTGTGCAGAAAAGGAAATTTCAGCAACTGTAGCTTTTGCAATAAGTTACACCTGCCGATATTTCCTCTTCTGCACAGCTATTAGAGGTGCACAATGTCAGGAGTGCGTGCAGGAGCCGGGCCCTGTGACTGGTAGGGCCTCGCAGGACTGGGGCCTTCCTGAGTTTGGCCTGGAAGGGCAAGGCACGGCCACACAGGTGAAGACTCGTAGCACCTGGTGGTATATAAGACCAGCATTTCCCTCTGGCTCTTTGCCACAGCAACACACTACCCACCTAGCTGTCCTTTGGCTTCCTGACTCCTGGTATCCTGACTCTTGGACCCTTGGCTTCCTGACTCTTGGCTTCCTGACTCTTGGCTTCCTGACCCCTGGACTGCTGACCCTGGACTGCTGATTCCTGCTTCCCGACCTCTATCCTGGTCCCGACGTACCAAGCCAGGACTCTGACTGCCTGTAACCTGGACTGTGACACACAAGTCCATTCCATATTTTGCTATCTGGTTACCCAATCCTACCCACTTACCTACACCTACACACACACACACACACACACACACTGCTTTTCTAAAAAGAGTACAAAGCAACTTGATTTGTTTTAGATTAAGGGGGGGGACCCCCAATACAATCTTATTTAATACATAGACATAAGCACAGATGTATTAATGTGTTAATTAGCTCACCAATGCCAAGGTGTCTGTTATCAGCAACAATGATTTTGTGAATGGCCCCTGTTAATAATGCAATTATCACCATCTAGGCGTTATATATTTTATTTCCCTCTGACCTCAGTGCTCACAGTCCCCCCCAACATGTGAATACACAACCATAACTTGGGATAACACTTCAGACATCTGATGAATAGAATGTAGTCAATGAAAGTGTATCCCATAATAAATATGTTAGTCTTTACAGAACCACAAGACTCTTTGTTGTTTTTGCTGAAATAAACTGGCAACACAGCTACTCTGGAACCAGAGGAATATGCAACACAGACCATGGAAAATATATGCATTTGCTACATTTTGATATGCACAATCTTAAAACAGGTTTCCAATACAGTCTTTTAAAAAAAATGGGATTATTGAGAAGGTGCTCGGTTACAACTATGTGTTTGACACCAGGTGGCAGTGTAATATCAAATAAATTAGCTTTCAAATTAGAATAGTTAACTCAGACAAAATTTGCTCATTAGAAGAATGTCTGCATAAATCCCATTTGGCACCTGTATTGGGTTTGAAATTGTTTCTATGTCTGTTTATATTATTAAATTGCTTTGGGTTGTTTTGAGGGAAGTGATTTATACACAAACAAAATCCCAGACAACAACTCCTTGAGATTCTGGTCAAATCTACAATTTCTTGTGTCAATTCTATATTTTATTTTCTATATACTTCGGAACTCTTTTTAATCATCATCCTCCTCCTCCTCCTCCTCCTCTTTGGCATATACAGGCTAAGCACCTAAGCTCTTTACTCCACAAAGGCCAATATATTTTGCATCATCCCGAGTTCTTAGTAAAAACACAACACAAAACCAAACACTATTTTTTTGTTGGGAGCCACCCAGAGTGGCTGGGGCAACCCAGTCAGATGGGCGGCATATAAATAAATTATTAGTACTAGTATTATAGGAAGGAAGGAATATAACCTGTTTTCCACCTTTAGAGAATAAACCATGTGTTACTTCCATTTAGTGATGGGTGAGCTCCTTCCATTTAAACTGGAAATTTAAACTCCCACCATCCCAAACTTAGCAGGACCAGTGGGCAGGGATGGGAACTGTAATCCAAAAACAGCTGGAGATCCAAGTTTGGGAAAGCCAGGTCTACTTGCAGGCTTCCCACAGGCATCTGGTGGACCACAGTGAGGACTAGATGCTGGACCAGATGGGTTTTTGGTCTGATCTTCTGGGGTTCTTATGCGTAAGTATTGCAGTGCACAACTATATATGCATCAACGATAAACTGATTTTTTCAGTACGGAGAAGGCACTCAGTTAAAGAGAAGAAAAGTAAAGGCAGTTACATTTCTAAAATGGGATCTAGAATTTTCACATCCGCACCACTAGCTTCTATCCAAACCCTACTTAAACTCTTCGTATTCTTTCATCTACCTACAATCTGCTTCACTAAAAGGCATACACTTGGTTTTAATTTGAAATCTTCATGTCCCATAAATATTCTAGTAGTATTTTAATGTTCGCTAAATTGCTTGAGCTTGAGCTTTTTGATCTGAAAGTTGGATTCAGTTTAGTAACGGAAAAGGTTACCTAGGAAAAGTAATCTTTGGCAAGTCTTACAGAGTCAAATTGAGGCTCAGACTACAGGCCAGAGGCCAGTTAAGACAGAGTGGGGAAACTCACACACCCCCAACACAC